ACCATAGTTTTCATAACCGAAAACTTGGCAATATGAGACCAGGTCATCCCCCCACACCAGATTCCAGGAGTTCCACCTACAACGGTTGAGAACTGGGTAGTTCTTGATGGTCTGTGATGTGGGAAATAGCTTGGCACGTTTGCATGGCATGTCCTCATGGGATCTTACAGGTTATTCTTTCAGAATAAAAGAGACATAAGATGCGGAAGAGAAAAGTTTTTCGTGCTGGCACTAATCACTAGAGCTGCTACGTGATGATTAAGGTTTACACAATTTGATCCTGAAGTCAGTAATCCATTTTCTTCTGAATGAATTGAATGGCTGTTATTAATGATTTACTATAGTCTTGGGACTTCTTCCCTTTAAGGTTTTAAATCTTTTCCTTTATCCTCTTTATATTTAAAGATATCCGTATTTTCACCTGAAATGGCTTTCTTACCAAATAATCCAGTGGGTGGCTAATTCACCCTCCAGGCACCTGGATTAATTACCCTCATCTCTTGCGGTTGTGGTCTGGGGAAATTGTTCCGCCGATTTTGCAGAAGCGTTGGAAATATTCCCCTCGCTTCTTTGGAAAGTGACCTTGAGGAGATTACATTAGTAATCATTAGTACCCCGCTCTGGGCATCTCCAGTTAAAATATCAAGTACAATGAGTCCTGTGTAGTAACGAAGTCCTACCGTGTATAATTCTGCTCCGTCACTGCTCCACAGACTTAGATGTAGGATTTCACAAACATGATCTTCCTCAAAACGTTCACGTTCTGTTGACTAGTGGGTGTGCGATCTGAGATGTGCAAAGTCACTCAGATGCTAAGAGAGCAGGATGCGCATCCAGACGGAAGGGTGGGGGTGGCGATGAACCCATAGCCCGAGAGGAATGATATTAGCAGTGAGTGGTTGTAGCGCTTGCCCTGTAGTTACCGTTTTAATAACCCAGTTAATTTTCCGGAGATGAAGAGTTGTCTGCTGCTATTACCCCCATTGCACAGATGGGAAGCTTAAGGCACAGAGAGGAACCCCCTTGCCCTGCGCCCATCCATCTGGGAGAGAGACATCGACATGCCTTGAGCACACAGCGATTCTGCACCGCCCCCCCCCCCCCACATCACCCGCCAGGGCAGTTCTCTTACCTACCTCTTGTCTTTAAGACAAGGTTTGGAAAGTTCACATTTGCTTACCTGAGGCGCAGCAGGTGGGAGCCATATGGTTGGGGTAGAGAAAGTGGTTACGTAAATTTAAAAATGCCAAACATGCACTTTACGGCTATTGGGGTGTATATACAATTTTGGAATACCGTATGTGGGCCACTTGGCCCTTGACGTTGAGAATGACTGGATGTTTAATTATCTGTGCCTTTCTAGACGCAATTACCCCATTTGGTCCCCAAATGTTTTTCATCTGATGTCATGATATGACTAATATTATTATGCCAATTATTTCTAGTTGCTCAGTTTCAAAAATTATGAGACCTAATTCAAATGAAGGGAGAGAGTCATCGGCTGGTGTAGGCCACTAGGGTGCTCCATTGCACCAAATGGTGTCCAGCGTCTAGTTGGGTTTATTTTAGAACATGAAATAAAGTCAGCATGCTGTTCTCTCCACCCATTGAAAAGACCAGGATGATAGGAGTTGGGCAAAAATGTAGCATATCTGGAGAAGAAAGGAGGAGAGCCAGGTTGAATAAGGAAGGGTCCGATCTGCAGAATGTTCTTACAAAAATTGTTTTATTACTTTTGATATAGTGCATCCATAGTTTATAAGATATAAATAGGTAGTCAAAAATGATGTAAAGAACAACAAAAACTGTACGTCTCTTTGCACATAGTCGGTGTTTATTAAATACTTATTTGGTGAAAAGCCTCCCTGAAAAAAAGCAGCCCTCGAGGCAGTTTTACTTAAAGAGAATCACCTAAGCCAAATGGAAATTCTTGTTCATCTCAAATACTTTATTTTCCTGCAGGAACATTCTGAGTAAAGAGTATTTTGAGTTTTCCGATCACAGTGTTAGATGAATTTTCACCGTTTAATATATTATCCCATTGGGCCATTTGTTTGGAAAGGAGTTCTTTTTAAAGTTGGCCGTATGGAAGCCATCAAGCATATGCAAAAGCAGAGGGAATAGATTAATGGACTCTCTCCACGGCCAGTCCCGCTTCGTCTCTAATCCCGCCCGGAGCCCCTCCACCCCTACTGGATGATTTTGAAGTACATTCCAATGTCAAATCAATTTATCAATAAATATTTATAAATATTTTATTATTGAAGTCCTTTAGAAAAACTAAAAGATTTATTCTAGAAAGTGCTTTAGAAAAAAATGAAAGATGTATTTTTAAATCACTTTAATTAGTACGGACCACTCCGTCCACTTCAGCCTTCACAGACATGATCCACTGCTCCTAAGAGTAAGAGAAACCTGCTTCCGGAAAGCATGGCATCAGTTTTCATGACAGAGACAGAATAATTCTCTGGGGTTAGATTTCCACCGAAAATACACTACTGGCCTGTGAGATCTTCCCCAGGAGCTTCGAGGGAAACCCCTGAGGTGGGCAGCTGGCTCAGGGAGCCCCTTCTACTACCACACACACACACACACACACA